GCCATTTCCCCCCGCCCCGCGGCAGCGGGGCCTGGCGCCGCCTTACGAGGTGTCCCTGGGGGACGGGCTGTGACCGGTGTGAAGTGAGAGATCCGTGCGAAATGTGCCCCCGTGCCAGAGAAGGTGGCTTTTGTTCGTTTTTGAGCGAACTAGCAGGTTTGTGCCACCAGCTTTGTGCCGGTTCCTAGAAACTGTGTTTGAAAGCGCATGTGTTAATGACAGACTACCTAAAGCCTATTGCTGAAGAAGAGAGAAGAATAGAGGCTGAAGAGAAAAAGAGACGTGAAGAACTTGAGCGGATCGCGAAAGAGCTTGCAGAAGGTAGTCTCTCAGTTTAATCCACACATCCCATACTGAACTGAGCACCCTGGCCTGCAGGTGGACTGACGTTTTAGTGCAGTGTTTTTAGGACAAATTTAGGTTTCCAGCCAGGGGGCTGCACACACATGTGATCCGGTGGACGAGTGGCTATGTGATGGGTAAATAGTGCTGCTGTTTGACAGGCCCTACAGAATGTAAGCTTTGGCTGAAAACACTTTTGCAGCCAAACAGGACTTGTTAAATGGCTATCTGAATTTCCACTGAGAAAACAAGCTGCTAAAACCTGTGCTGGTTATTTTGTGAGAAATACGTGGAACTGTATATTGACACTACCCAGATGCTCCTTATTCAGCTGGATGCAGAAAACTTGTGATCCCTTTGCTCCACACAGTGCAGAAATCTCACACATGTGACTGATTGCCTAAACCAGAAGTCCTAGGCAACTGCTTGAAAGTGCAACTCAAACTTTAAAGTGGTATCACTGGTGTAGTGTTAGAGGTCAATTTCACTTGTTGTATCTCATGTGAAGAGAGTATGCTGGAGGTGATTCACTGGGATTAGTACTGCTGCTTTTTTCTTACTCCCTTCTGCCCTGTAGCATTCTTGCTGCAGCATGCTATCGCTTGTTGTTAGGATTATTTATTTATCTGTGGATTTCTGACAAGATTTCTCCCCATGTCATACAGAGGAGCGTGCTGTCTAGCTTGAATTCACCTTTTTTCCTTTTTTTTTTTAAGATGGACTTACAGTCCAGAACTTTTAAGAAATTGATCAATAACTCAAGCTACACACTTAGTAACTATTCCCCTGGGAAACAGTGGCATTTGCATTGTTGTAAACAAGACTAATGTTGGACAAAACCCTGTAAAACTAAATGAGCCACACATACATATAAGCAAATAGGCAACTTGGTGAATTTTATCGCTTACTAGAGATGAAGCTATTTAGCACAGCTGTTTTTACCATCTTAAATATATAGTCTCCATTAGTCATGGACTAAATAAATGGGCCTTATAGGTATTTTCTAGATTAGCTGAAACTTTTTTTTATACTTTTGGCGGTAGAGGCTGCACTGCAGTGTTGCTACTTCACTTAATAATAGGATTCTGTGACAATTTCCTTAGAATGTTTATTTAAAAGTGGCACACAGATGACCAGTGTGCTTTCCCAACAGTGGTTTTGGTGTGGTTTTCCTGTTAAAAAAAACAATTGTTATAACTTCATTCAGTGCGATGCAGTTGTTGGAGATTGTTCTTCAAAGATGGATAACTGGACGAATCCGTAATGATAGCTTTTTCTGGGCTTAATTTGAATTTTGTCAGTTCAGAAAACAGTAATTTACTAGTAAGTAAGTCAGAAAAGTTCCTTTACCCCAAATACATTTCTGTTGAATAAACAGAAGCAGGAATTGTAAAAACTGGCTAGAAAGAAATGTCACACTTAAAGGTAGCCTTTGACCTCACTAATGTTTCCAGCTTTTAGTACTGCATGGGACTGACTAGTAGTGCTAACTGTGTTTGTTTTTTCTTCCCTTATAGCAAGCCAAGATACCATATTGAAATGAACAGAAGATTGAATCCTAATTTCACAAATGAAAATACATGGCTAGGCTCTGAACTGTGTAGTGGTTGTTGGACTCTGTATGCTATTCTCTCAATAAAGTACGTAAAATGCTTCAGTTGGTATTTGAGTGAGTTGCATGGAACAGCAGCAGAAATAATTACAGAATGTGACAGGAAGCTTTTGTCAAAAGCTGGCCATTGCTGCGGTGGAAACACCCTGTTGTATTCCTCCAGCAACAACCAGTCACTACACCTATAACTAGGAGATAATGTTTGTGATCAGAAAAGACACAATTTAATACATACGGGCAGGTGGGCGAGCAGGCTGGACTTCAGTAGACTGAACAACTGAAGGGCATCCGCATGTTCTTTTCAGTAGCAGAGCAAAGAGGTCCTGTCTTAAGTCAGCTTGTCCTCCCCCTTCCATCTGGGACCAGATATGATGGGCAAGCTATAGCATTAAAAATCCCTTGGCAGCTTCCCACTTAGCCAGACCCCTTCTGCACAGAGGAAAAATTTGCTCTCCACCCATGAACTCCTATCTGAGGAAACTCCTGCCAGTCTCACAGGGATATTCATTTCCCTACTCCTCCCTGCCCCCTACCTTCAAAACCCAGAATGGAGGTCTGGATGCATTACTTCCTTCTGTGAGGCACTTAAAAGCAGGCCCTTCGTGTCTCCCCCTGGACTCGGGAGCTGTATCAAGCCAGAAGTGGAAATGAACCCCTGGGGTATAGGCAAATATGCCAGAAACAGAGCTAAATTACTCTATCTCGCTCAGCTGGGAGTTGACTGGTCAATGGACCCCACCTGAAATTGTGTTGCAATGACACCACTTTTCTGTCAGGCCTGGGAAAATACTGGCTGAAAAAATCTGTTTCTTACCCCTTCCCTTTTCCTTGCCCGGTAATGCCTGGCAGCCAGCTGCCAAGGGGAACACTGTGAGTAGGAAATGTGCCAGATTCCACCTGCATCTGACGAACACCTCCAGTGGGAAGCAAACTGCCAGTAGTGTGGTTGTGATGGTGCAACAGACATAGAAGCCCATGTTAGTAAGGGATTTCTGACTGGAAAGGACAGTGATCCCAATCTTTTGGCAAAGTGGCTGTGTCATTAGATGGTACCATTTTGAAAAGGAAAAAAACCAAGTTCAATCCCCTGACATATACTGAAATAAAGTCAGTGCTCCCCTCAGACACTCAGTGTATGTTAGGCAGTGGAAGTGAGAGCCACAGTGAAGGGCAAAAGGGAAGCACAGGCTGCCTGGAGCTCAGGGCTGAATGTACTGTGACTGGACGTGGCCTGTTTGCCAGATGAGAAGATAGAGGAACAGCAGATGAAGCATCTCCCCAGGTGTGGGGAGGGAAGGGTTTCCTCCCACCAGCTGCCCCTCCCTGGGGCATAGCATTGTGCCCTGGGTGAGCCAGCCTCGGAGGTGAGGGGTCCCAGGGTATCATGGATGGATGACTCTTTGCTGTTGGGTAATCGCAGACTGCAGCTGTAGACTGTCTCACCAGCCCTTTCACCCCACACTGCAACTGCTCGCAGCTCCACCACTCCACCAGCACAGGCATTCTGCTTGCCTATAGACCTGCAGGGATCACTTCTGCCTCTCGTCACAGGTTGTTCCTGTCGAAGAACTTAGCAATGACTGTCCAGCAGGGGTGCAAGATCTATGCAGACAGGCAAGAACTCTGCAGCCCCTGAAATAAAGCTGCAGGGAAAAAAAAATACCTACAGACTGTATCCTATCAGAAACAGATACAGTGCAAGGGGAAAGTAAAAGAGAAATTAAAGGTCTTGGTTTTCTGTTTCTCTTATTGCCCTCTGCTGTATGTGGCATACATACATTGTGAGATACAGCAGCACATCAAGTATAGGCTGAATTTCCTTGTGGAAATGGGAGAATTCGTAACCAAAAAACATCTATTGATGCAAGGCAGTGTACAGGCAGTGCTTGTGCATCTTACCCCAAGACAGAGCCCAGCCTCCCGGCTTTATTTCCTGGAAAATCTTTGAGGACATAAAGAGCTTTTCTCAGGACTTAAGTGTACAGTGGATTGTGGCCATTTTTTAAAAGCCCACTGCTCACCACTCTGCAACATGATAACCTTGCCACAGTTTTCCTGCTGGAAAAAAAAAAAAAGACTTGTTTGAATTCATATGCAAGCCTCCTATATAGTTCTCAATGAAAATGAGACGACACGAAGTCACTACTAGTGGCTTATTTAACTTTCATGCAAGTGGGCAGGTTTCCGAATTTTCCTGAGACATGACTTGCAGCTCATGGAATTGCTGCATAGCAGCAGAGGATTAATGGTCTTAAACAAAAAGAGGGGAGATTCAGGCTAGTCATGAGGAAGAATTTTTTTACAATGCGGGTGGTTAAATACTGGCACAGAGAGGTGGTGGATGCACCATCCCTGGAGACATTCAAGGCCAGGCTGGATGTGGTTTTGGGCAACCTGATCTAGTTGAAGCTGTGCTTGCTCACTGCAGGGGGGTTGGACCAGGTGACCTTTGAAGGTCCCTTCCAGCCCAGGCTTTTTTAGGGTTCTATTACACTTGCTTACTTGTCTCTGTTTAACAGAGACACGGATAAATCATCACTAGCTACAACCATGGCTCTAGTTTTCCTTTTATTTGCAGTATTTTTGTAATGCAAACCAAGATACCGAAGGGTAAAAGCACTGAAGATAGCAGGAGTAATTGAAGAAGAAGAAAATCCCCAGCAAAACAGATCTCCAAACACTTAAAAAAAAAAAAAAGATGAAGAGAGACAGAGAGAGAGGAGCAGAGGAGGGTTTCTGTACTGCTACAAGGGCATAATTAAATGTTCTAATACGGCTGCATGGACAAACATGAAACCTAGCTTTTATCTGAAATAATAGAATACAAGTCATCAGTTTTTCAAAGTCTGAAGGGAAATCTAAAACCAAGACATCTTAGAACAGGAGAAGGAAAGGAAGAAGAGTTGGTACTGATCAGAAGAGAACTGTGCCAAATAACATTGGCATTATGAGGCAAAACAGAACAAATTTAGGAGATGCCATGATTCAGGTTGCTTGTCTAACTGTACTGGGTAATAGTAACACTGTCTTCTTACAAGCACATGTGCCAGACGGAAGCCTTGGTTAGGGCACAGTGTGGATCCTGCTCATGAAGATGGCAGCTACTGGGTCTTGCACAAATGGCTGCATGCTTTAAAGCAGCAACCTATTACTGAAGTAGATGCAGAACTGTTACCTCTGTGTTTCTTGGATTTACATGGAATTATAGCTTTTTAGAGCAGTTCAGAGGTTTACTATGGGCATTTTTCATGTTTTCATTTTTCATCTCTACCTACAGATTTCTTTCTTATATCCTAACAGATACAGGCTAGATATGATAAATTTGGCTCCTTTTCAGTTTTCCTACTCTGCGGGCTCAAGTTCCATGCAGTCAATCACATAGCG